CCTATTACCAAGTATGGATGTGAGAGATGGACAGTTAAGAAAGATGATACGAAAAAAATCAAAGCATTTGAGATAGTGTGGTGCTGGAGAAGAGTGTTGAAGATCCCGTGGACAGTCAAAAAGATAAACAATTGGGTCCTAGAGCAGAGCAAGCTGGAAACTTCCCTGGAAGCCCAAGATGACCAAACTGAGGCTATCATACTTCGGACACATCATGAGAAAAGAAGACTCATTAGAAAAGACAATAATGCTGGGAAAGGTGGAGGGAAGTAGGAAGAGAGGAAGGCCATATGCCAGATGGATGGACTCTATTAAGGAGGTCATGGGTATGGGTTTGCAGGATTTAAGCAGAGCAGTGGAGGACAGGGGGTCTTCGAGATGGGTCGCTATGGGTCAAGATTGACTTGAGGGCAGTTAACAATAACAAAAGTGCTAGTCCAACATTCAAAGCACTGCACCACACTGGCTCTACCCTTAAAATGATATGATGAACTTTGGGATGACCAGGAACCCCATGGTGATCTTGGATAAGCCATCTTCTCTGAGCCTAAGAGGAGAGCAATGGCAATACACCTCTGAATAAATGTTCCCAAGAAAACCCAAGATAGGAACGCCATAAGTCAAAATTGTCTTGAGGGCACATAGCAACAACCATTTGGGGTGGAAACTGAGTGATAGTCTTTAGAAGGTCCAATCTGTTGGCATTACCAACTCCAAGATTGCTCCCCCTGAAAACGCACAATGGTGAGAGGTAGCGTTACACTGTCTTTCAATCTCCAAATCCCCTTTCAGATTTCAGCCAGACTTTCAAGAGTGTGAAAATTTGGCCCAGCCTTAATGACATCTCCCAACTCTAGTCCCTAAGACCTTTTGATTGGAGATTGACCCTGGGACATTTTGAGTCATGCTGAGTTCCAGATTCACCTCCCACTCCCTTCCTATCCGATGCTGGGAGGGGGAAGTAGCCTAACCTAGTGAAACTGCCATTTGTGTTCAGAATATTCTGCTTTGAAGACTATCAAAAATGTAGAGTTCTTTAATTAATTTTCACTTATTGTTCATATATTGCTATGGGGAAGCTGCTTGGGAGCATCTTAGACATGGTTGGCTTGAAGTGTTCAGTTATCAAAATGTCATGCCTACCCCATGGGTCTGGAACTCCTTCTTAGGAACTTTAAACCCAGCAATTGGAACTAGGGTTTCTTATCCCGCAAACTACAAATGGCTTCACTGCAATTACCCAGCACTTTAGGGGCTGTTACAAACCCAGTCTTCCAGATCAGAAGATGCGGATGGGAAATGCCAGCGATCCTTGCTAATAGGTCAGACTTTCAAGTAAAACTTGATGGTGCATTTTCTAATTTCAGAAAGCCCCAGATGATTCACACATTCATAGAGGAGGGGGAACAATGTATACAGTGTGCCCTCCACATTTGCAGATTTAACTGTTGTAGATTTGATTTTTCATGGATTTGATTAATATATTCTCTCCAGGAATCTCAAGGTCCTCCAGTGCGACACTATGGTAATCTTCTGGTAGAGATTCCTAGAGAGAACACTTTTCTAGGCAGTTGTAGATCCTCCAGTGCAATTCTATGGTCAAGCTCCACCCGATGTTGACCACAGAGTTCTGCTGTTGACCATAGAGATTCCTAGAGAAGTGCTCTCTCAAATAAAAAGTTTTTTTTTTTAATTTGTGGGTTTTCTACTTCCGTGGGGGCCTGAGCCCCTAACCCCAGTGAATGTGGAGGACCCACTTAATACTTTTTCAATTTACACTTTCAGTTTTTCACACATTTTCCTGTGGATGTGATGTAAATGTCCAGCAGCAGCTTTTGGCTTTCATGTTGGGATGGTGATGAATTTGCTCCAGATCCTATTCCAAACCTGAAGGAAGCTATTCAAGATGCTTTGGAGATAGGGTTACATGGATAGGTCTTTAAAGTTTGGACTAAACCCCAGAGAGGAACTGCCAATCTAATGAAATGGAAGCCATCAGTTGCCAATGTGCATGTCCCAAATTGCTTGTAGACCACCCCCGCCAACTCACCAACCAAAGGCCCTCATAGCATAAAGACTTGGAAGCAGTTTCTGATCATCAGGGTTCACAGCTTGAGCCCTGGAATCTCAGATGTCCTTCTGTGCAGAACTATCTTCCATCAGCTGAATATATCTCCATCTGCTGTCATAGAATCATTGGGTTGGAAAGTCCTACAGGTCATCAAGTCCAACCCCCTATTCAAAATTGCAGGAACTCCAGCTGGTACTTGTCCAGACTCTTTTTGAAAATGTCCAGAGAAAAAGACCATCTCTCTAGGCAATTGGTTCCATTGCTGAACTGTTCTTACTGTCAAAATGTTCCTTCTAATATTCAAATGAAATCTACCCCCTGTAGTTTAAATCCATTAGCCCTGGTTCTACCTCTGTGGCAGCAGAGGACAAAGCTGCACATTCCTCTTTGTGACAATATTTGCAGTATTGAAAGAATACAGCCAAACTGAATATGCCCAGCTTTTTCAACCTTTCCTTACATTTTGTTCTCGATACTTCTTATCATCCAAGTTGACCTTCTCTGAACCTGATCCAACTTCTCTATATCATTCTTAAAAATAGGATCCCAGAACTGTACCCACTGGGTTTGGATCCAGGATCCCCCATGGACACCAAAATCTGTGGATATTCAAGTCCCATTATATACAATGGCAAAGTAAAACGGTGTCCTTATATCAAATGGCAAAATCAAGGTTTGTTTTCTGGATTCTAAAAAAAATATATCTTCAAGCTGTGGATGGTTGAATTAATGGATACAGAATCTGTGTATATGATGAGGCTGACTGTACTTCAGATGAAGCCTGAGTAGCTCAGAGTATAGTGAGACTATTATTTTGCTGGGTGGTGTAGTGGTTTGAGTGTTGGACTATGACTCTAGAGACAAAGGTTTGATTCCTGGCTTGGCCATGAAACCCACAGGGTGGCCTGGGCAAATAACAGCCTCAGGAGAAGGCAGTGGCAAACCTCCTCTGAACAAATCTCACCAAGAAAACCCCATGGTAGTGTTACCTTAGGGTCACCATACATTTGAAACAACTTGAAGGCACACAACAACAATGTTTTGCCTTGATTTGGAAACTATGGTTCCATTAATGCAGATTTAAATGCATATATTATTTGCTATCTTTGCAGCAGCATCACACTGCTGATTCATGTTTAGTAATCCCAAGGTCCTTTTCATATGTACAACTGTTAAGCCAAATATCCCCTAGTCTGTTCCTGTGCATTCGTTTTTATGGCCTAAATGTAGAATTTTGTATTAGTCTCTGCTGAATGTTATTGGTTTCAGGCCAATTTTCTAGTTTATCAAGGTCCTTTTGAATTTTGTTCCTATATTTCAATATGTTAGCTATCCTCCCAGTTCTAAACACTTCTGAACACTTTTGAGCAGTTGGAATGTTCATAAACATCCCATAAATAAGGAGCAACTGAAACAGGGACTAAGGTGTCTATCACGCTACACATTTATAATAATATACTATTTTAACTGCCATAGTTCAATCCAATGGAAACTTCGGATCTGTGCTTTGGGGAGGCATTAAAATTTTTGTCAGACAGTACTCCTGTCTCACTAAACTACAAACACTATAAGATACAGTCATGATAGTTAAGTGATATCAATGTGCTATAATTGTTCTAACCTGTACGTTGCAGAGACAGGCCATAACTTTTTACTCATGGAGTAATGTGATAGTTGTGCAACACCTGGTCATTAGTGAATTGCAGTATTGTGAAACTAAAAGTGCACTGAATATTAATGTGCATGTGAAATACACATCCATGTGTCATGCACATCCATACACAAATGTATTGCATGCATGACTCCACGTACACAACTATGATCTGAAAACAGCTATTAAGCATCAGGCAAAAATGTCCAATCGCTTCTGCAATGCGCACCTGTGCCAATCCATGCACAGATTCATAGCACGCACGATTCCACTTCCACAACCATGATCTGAAAACAGCTATTCCATATCAGACAAAAATATCCAACCACTTCTGCAGAAGAACTTACATAAGTATAGGACACTCACAGGATTCTGGCCACTGTTTATTGTGAAAGAGAGACTGAATCCCATCAAATGAAACCACAACACATTCAAGTGATGACCCGATAGTGTGTTATCAGGGATAGCTTTGGTTAATGGCCAGTGTTTAAAAATGTAACTGTCATCGTCAGTACTGTTTTCGTGTTGTTTCCCTCTGGCCTCAAAAGCCCAGCCACAGCCATGTGCACTATGTATAAATATCCTTGAAATCCTGGGTGAGACTTCATACATCTGGCGAACTGGGCTAAAATCCATGAAAACGCATTCCATAAAAAAATGTGTCAATCTTTAAGGTACCATGGGACTCTTTGTTGTTTCTGTAGCAGCAGACTAGCGCAGCAATCCCTTTGCAAATTGCATCTGTATCAGGGTTTTTGCCGCCTTCTCCATTTGTTACATTTATCTGGTTTTAGTGTAAACTATTTCCTTCATGTCTGGCTTATAAGATTCTCAGAGATAGCTGCCTGTTCTAGTAAGGAAAGCAATCATTTTTACTGTCTCTTGCATTCACATTTTTTAAACTCCAAGTTAATTCCATCCCCCACATGCATTTGGTTAAGATTGGTGAATTCTTCAGAAATGAAGGGAAATAAAATTTCCCTCTATTTGCATCAGTCAAAAATCAATAAGTAAAATTGTTCTCAGTATGGTGGAGATCATTAGGTACGTGGCTGCTAGGAATGTATTAAAAATGAGATGCCCCTGGAGAAAAGAGAGGCAACCTAATTCAGCACTAACATGGCATACCTCCAAAACTGACACTCCTTCTTGAATTGTGGTGCCCAGAACTGGACACAGCATTCCAGGGGAGGTCTGACCACAGCAGAATAGAGCGGTATGATTACTTCCCTTGACTTGAAACTAAAGTTCTATTAATGCAAGTTACAATAGCATTTGCTTTCTTTGTTGCAACATTATACTGAAGGTTCATATTCAATTTGTGATCAACAATAATCCTAAGGTCATTGTCACATATAATACTGCTAAACCAAGTATCCCTCATCCTATACCTGTGTACTTGGATTTTGTGACTTACATTTTACTTTTGTATCTGTTAAATTTTATTTTATTGCTGAATAGTGGATGCCTTCCTTCACTCCTTCCTTCCTTCCTTCCTTCTGTCTTCTGGCTTTCTTTTATTGTTTTGGAATTTTTGGCAACCCATAGGGCCCCTTGAAATTCACAGGGCATAAAAGTGGCCCCTGGACATGTTGCAGCTATCCATTCCTATTTTAAGATCTCAAGTTCTCTCCATCCCTAATATTCAGAAACTAGAAACTTTGGATAACTTCTTATTTTAAAATGGAAATGAGACTAGCTACTCACCTATTCTGTTCATAAGGCACTTGGACAAGTCAGGTCAATCCATCAGATCTTTCTCTGTGTTCCTATAAAGAATGTTTCCCTGAGGAATATGCAGATCTACTCTGTGACAAATGTGAACACAGGAACACAAGAGAATTGGAGTTTTTTCCTGATCGAGGGTCTATAGGTTTAGCTGTTGTGCAACAGGCAAAAATTCAACAGGTACCATTCTCCTTTCCCAGAGAGAGACACACCCCTCACTGAATTGTAGGGACTATTTGCATCCTCATTTTGGTGTTGCTGTATGCCTTCAAGTTGTTTCCAATATTTGGCATCCCTAATGGCTCATAAAATACCCTAAATGCACCAGATCCCATCTGATCTTGGAAGCTAAGCAGAGCCATCCCTAGCTAATACTTGAAGGGGAAACCACCAATGACAGCCAGATGCTGGCAAAACCACCTCCGAGTATTCCTTGCCCAAGAAAACCGTATGAAATTCATGGAGTCACCATAAGTTGACAGGTGATTTGAAAGTACATACACAC